ATGTCAGGCCTCGTCGTTCGTATGCAGTCGTGGATTACATGAGGGCCAATGCAATAACGACTCTACCCTTGCCAGCAATGAGCCCAGATTTGAACCCCCTTGAATATGTTTGTGATATTCTGGGGCGGCGCATACAGGCACGAGGTCCTCCTGTACAAGATTTACGCCAATCGGAAGCAGCATTGCATCAGGAGTGGTTGTTGTTGACCCATCAACAGATCCAACATCTGACTGGAGGCATGACACGTAGGGTGGAATGCGTCATCCGGGCACGTGGCGGTTATACCCGCTACTGATCTGTTTCACGTGTCATGTCAAGTGGAGACTTTAAGGAACATTTTCACATGAAACATCAAACGTAACTCGTTTACTTAATCCTGCAGCTCCATACTTTTTTAGGTATTGTCTGAGGTCAAAAACAGTACCTGTGTTACCATGATGTTATTGTCAGTAAATTTCAATCACAACTCACCAATATCTTCTTTACTTGTTGTCAAATGTTTGTTCTATCCGATGACATTGGTGTAGCCCAGGTCCTGTGGTCAGTCATCCCATGCCATGATGTTTGCCATTTGTCATGGTTCAAAAATAGGGGTGTGCTTAACTTTTTTCTTTGTGTATACTTAGAACTGGCTTGATGTGCTGCAGATGTTTTACATAGTATTGAAGATAGTATCATACAATTCGAAAATTTAATCTTTATATAATCCACTTATAAATGACTAGATAAATTCAATCACCATAAGAAAATGAAAATATCTTTTTTTTTCTTTCACAAAAGTTGATTCAGTTGTTTGGATGTGTTTTTTATTTGTATAACAACTACTATACAGTCTTGTTTTAAAATTAAAATTATAGTTTGTCATTTCATGCCTGTGAATGCCAAGGGGATGTGGTATTTAACTGTGAATAGAACTTTTAAGTCTGTCGCTTGCACAAGAATTTGCAGACCTTGATAAAGTAATTCTTTGAATCTGGACGCAACACACTTTTCTCCTGGCAAAATAACAAACTAACTCATACTTTTTGAGGTACTTTATTCTTAAAATACTGTTGTGAGCAACAAAATATATACATGTAGTAATAGTTAGAATAATAGACTTTGCATGAGACAAAACCTTCCACTGCAAGAGTTAGCACTGCATAGAAAAAAACAGTATTCAACACATGAAACAGACAATACAATGACACCTGAACACAACTGTGTTCAAACAGATGGCAAATAATGCACACGTAGAGAAACAAATACATGTAAATATGGACATCAACTTAATTCATAAGCTGTTAATAATCAAGAACTTGTCATTCATCCATGTTAGAGATCATATAAGGCCACACAAATACATAATTAGTTTCTTGACATCTCCCATTCCATCTTCCCGAGGCAAGGGAGTTATCTGACTCTAAAAGTCCAGTTTCCACCATTGCCAAACTTGGCTGGAATTCGGGAGTTACATTTTGGCTGGAGTCTATGCATAGTCCAATCAAAATTGTGTGACAAACTAGACATTTGTTCACAAACATCATGGATTTCAAGGTGCATATTTCGGTTGACTGACGGATTCGTCAAGCATGTGTACCGCCAACTTAGCATCGACAGATATTTTGCAAATCTTTTCATGTTTTACATCAAGATGCTCAAGTGACACCTGTTTTATTACAATACAGATCTTGATTATCGACCAGATCCTCTTTTACTGGGCACCGCCATTTTGTTTGTGATGCGAGAGGTGGAACCCGATAGGTAAGTTGGAGGGACATTCAATTCTCAAATATTCTCTTGTGGTTGATTTATGGTAAGGCACATGTTATTATATTTATCTACAAAATGACTCTTTATGAGGCCAGGCTATTTCATGATATATTACTTTAAATAATAGGTTTTCATATAGTCTGGCAATATAAAGCAAGACCAATTCTTCAATCTTGGGTTGAAGTAAATGTTCTGATGAAAGATAAACAAAGGAAAAAGTACAAACAAAGAGATGATTAAAACACATGTAAAAAATGCACTTTGAATTAATATGCTTTCAATTTTTTTAACTTTTAAGTGGGTTCATATGTAAAGCAAGAAATAAAATTGGAGAAACTGTGGTCATTCCAACAAGAAAAATCTGAGAACGAAATAATTAATTGTCATTTCAACGTTTTAAAATTCACACTATGAAGCTACTAACTAATTCTTTTGATTTCCACGACAAACTACTTCAGCTATTTTGCATCATTGGGAGCATTTGGGAGTATCTCTCAAAAAGATAAAAAACATAAAGACTCCAATCTTCAAAGTGTAAGCTTAGAAAACAACACCTCTTACTTACCTCCCTTTGCAATAAGTGCGTCCATTATGTTGGGCAGTTTTAATCAAATGGGCCAGTTATTGCAAGCCATCCATTTGATCTCTGATCAAGATTCTTTAATTCCACGTTTTTTGTGTTTGAGATACATAGTCATAAGAAAAGCTTGATTGTTTCAATGCCTTTCAAGCCTGTTAATCAGAATGTGTAATGGTTGTCACTTGGCATTCTGATTAAGACATCTGGTGTAAACCTATTTTGATATTTATTCTCAAAAAGCCAAGTAAAAAGGAATAGTTAATTGATATATACTGAACAAAAAAAGTCAGGGATCATAAATATTTTTGGGGATATTTTTGTTGTGAAAACTGAGCATACAATTCCATAAAGATATTCATGATCCCTCCCTAACGTTTCTATTCAGTATAAAAACAGAAACAAAAAGAGTTAATATTTTCTTAACATACAAAATACATTTAAAAGAAAACAATTGCATAGAAGCATTTCTAGGACAAGCCTTCACAATACAACATGAGTAAAACCGTTAGAAATCTGATAACCCCATCACCAACAATAGCACCTCCCAGTTTCAAGAAACTGAATAAATTCAAGAAAGCATGCCGGTATATAATGACACACCCCTTTCCTACAGACTCCTCAAAGGCATCTGTTTGAATGTTGGATTTTCTCATCCATCAATGCATCACTTGAGGAAAACGTCATCTTCCCGAGGCAAGGGAGTTAACTGACTATAAACGTCTAGTTTCCACCCTTGCCGACTAGGCTGGAATTCTGGAGTTACATTTTGTCTGGACTAATGAGTCTATGTATAGTCCAATCAAAACCACGTAACGAACAAGACATCCGGTTCATAAACAACATGGACTTAAACTTGCAGATTTCGGTTGACATAACTTGTAAAAGCACTGGTGGCGCTAGGATTGAGCCAGGAAATTCCTGCCAAGTTCAGCAAGGGTTGAAACTGGACTTTTATAGTCAGTTAAAGCCCTTGCCTCGGGAAGATGGAAAGACGTTTCTACCAAGATGTTAAAATATACATAAATATTTATCTATAGTCACCTTACCAAACCTTTTTAACACAAACAGAAATACTGCTTTTAAGCTTTGTAATTGATGATATATTTTGAATATATGAACACAAAGGCGCTGTTTTTAGAGCAGTTGTAGAGTAATATTGTTACAAATTAAATATACTACTCAAAAGAAATTAAGAACACCTGATTTTTTCATATTACAGTTAATCTTCAATGCCATGTTTAATTAACTATAGTAATAAGAAAGAATTGGGTGTTCATTAACTTCCTTTGAGTGGAAAATATACTACCGGTACCCAACTTTGTCCTTGTGGAGGCTGAATGTGACGGACTGCTTGGAGATATACGAATAGTCCTGATATTGCCATGGTACACATTTTCACCTCTTCTTTAAGTTAAAATAATATTAAAAAGAGCAAGTTTTCATAAGTTGTCCTCAGAATATAGTAATCCATCATCCCTATCTACAGCTAAGGACAATAATCTACCACTGCATCCACTTTGTGGTACAAAACGATCCCACTGAAGACTCGGGATTAAAATAATCTGTTTGGAGATCTAACACCTTTTCAGATCATCATTCACAGTGAGACGATATTGGAACTATCTGCTGCCGAGGTTCATCATTGAGATATTTCCATTCCATCATACAAAACACAGAGTTCCAGAGTATTTCTGATAATAGAATGGCACTTTATCGTCCAAACCTGGCTCCCATAGGAGATATCGCTTGGGTGAGATCAAGCAATATCTACACTGTAGATATTGCTGCAATGAAATTACATCACAATGCTTTGCAGACCATTGTGACGTCACTGGTTACCATGATGTCACAATCAAATGACATCACTAATGGCTAACTGTTAATGACTGTCTACAAATTGAAAAAGCTGGAAGAATGATGTTGGATGATAAATAAAATCTCACCCTCGTGTCTTTTGATATCAAATATATCAACACTCGTTGATAAAAGTGGAAAAAATCCTTGGCAAGCCTCATAATTTTTCAACTTTTATCAACTCGTGTTGATATATTTGATATCAAAAGTCACTTGGGTGAGATTCTCTATATAACACATACCACAGATGAGGATGGCCCAGCTTGGGGGATGTGAGGTTCAGCAGACACAGAGACACTAAGGCTACTTTTACACCAAGCTCTTGTGGTTTGAGACTAGTCCAGTAACATCAGAACATGGCACTTGTTTATTACAAGTATTGGAATCTATAACGCCACACCAATTAAAACAAGCAAGCTCATCAGCCATAATATCATCATATTATTATATGTAGGACCATTCCACTACAAGCTCCCTCGATGTTTCACAGTTGTGTACACTGGGTTTCTTCTAATACATGAATACAAATCGTCATTTTCAATAACCAACGAATCAAGAGTGAGTGAGTGAGGGAGTGGGTGAGCGGGTGATCGAGTAAGTGAGTGAGGTGGTGGGTGAGAGTGATCGAGTGAGTAAGTGAGTGAGCGAGTGAGTGAGTGAGTGATCGAGTGAGTGAGTGAGTGAGTGAGTGAGTGAGTGATCAAGTATGTGAGTGAGTGAGTGAGTGAGAGTGAGTGAGTGAGTGAGAGAGTGAGTGAAAGGGAGAGTGAGTGAGTTAGTGATCGAGTGAGTGAGTGAGTGAGTGAGTGAGTGAGTGATCGAGTGAGTGATCGAGTGAGTGATCGAGTGAGTGATCGAGTGAGTGAGTGAGTGAGTGAGTGAACTTCAGTACTACCACAACAGGGAACACTACAAGTGAGTGTAAAACTTAAAAGGTAAGAAATAAATCTGTAACTCTGACACCTGGTCAAAGAAAATAAGAATAAAACAAATCAACAAAATCATAAATAAGTAATAAATAAAATCTCAATGTCAATAAATGTGGGCCGTTGAGAAATAATGAGTACTACAAAACACAATAACCTTTGTATACATGAATCCCAAAACATTGAACAAATAATGTACATTTTGTATCACACAAACCGTATATATAAGTGCCCTCCGGTAAATATTTCTAGTCAGAAGTGCTTTCAGGTAATATTTCTGTATAGCTAGTACCCTCAAGTAAATATTTCTATACAAATGTGCCTTAAATTTATATTTCTGTGTAGAATGCCTTCAGATTACATTTCTACTTTACAACCTCCAGTGACCTCATCCTATTGTTCTCCAGTCAGGGTTAAATCTCGTACTCAGGGATGTAGGAATATCCCCAGGACTTTATAGGATACTCCAGGCATATTTGCTATATAATGTGTTATAATATCCTGGGGATTTTATATAATATCTACGGGATTTTATAGGATATTCCAGGCATATTTGCTATATAATGTCTTATAATATCCTGGGGATTTATTTAATACATTTTCCGTTCAGATTGTAACATGTAACGAAATGTAACATCAAATGACAAATGTTTTCTTTATATTCCCGAGGATCGAACATACAACCTTCGAATCTGTAGCCCAGTGAGTGTACCACTAGGCTACAGAGGTGTTGATAAATCACAATGCTTTTAAGAATGTCTTTTTCCAGAACCGTCTGCCAGCAACAGATATTTTACACCCGTTTCCTGAGGTTCATGGCAAGTATGTTTTAAACAAAAATGTTGATAATGTTGTTTTAAGTTTATTTTTATTTTTATGATATTTAAATATCATATAAACCCTCAGACGTGCTTTATCCTACCTATAGAAGTGCCTCTAGATTACATTTCTATATATAATTGCCTCTGGATAATATTTCTATATAGAATTGCCTTCAGATTACATTTCTTTATCGAATTGCCTCTAGATAATATTTCTATATAGAAGTGGCTTCAGGGAGTAATTTTATGGTACTGTTAAACCGTAATATCATCAGTTAACATTATTGTGAGTTGGGTGTTATAAGGGGCCACTCTATAATGCCAGGAGACATATACACATATCATTGCTCCACTGTGGCATGAAGTAGGTTCCGCATCATATTAAGTGTCATCACTCCCATCATATTGGACTGTTTCAGTAATTAAGTAAGTACCAGAACATACAGATAATTTAACACTAGACTTTTATGGGGCGCAAAACTCATAAAAATCATCACAAGAAATCAATGACTTCTTTGTAAGAAAATATTTCTGGGGATATTTTCTGATCCAGAGCTGGTTTAAAGGTCATCACAGATGGTTTCTAAAGACTTCCAGATCTGATATTGCTGATGATATTGCACTAGATAACATCATGTTGACCCATAGCTTCATTAATTACATGTAGACAAACTCAGCACATGAACTGATCCGATCAGTGTGTCTTGTTAATTAATCAGTCAATGACAACTACTTCATCTACTACACAGACCACACCGCCGTACAATCCATCCGTGCTTGTCATCGTCACTGCTCCATGCAGAATATTGTTTTTTATTTTGAATTCATAACTTGTATGTAAACAATGACTTTATTTGTAACATTCATTCTTTATTCGTAACATTTGACTATTATTGCCTACTTTTGTCGTTTACTTCAACTTTGTATTTGAATGACCGCCCAAAGATGGACTTCATAACATTTATCACCAAATTTTGTCAGCAAGAGCTCTCTCTCTCTCTCTCACACACACACACACACACACACACACACACACACACACACACACACACACACACACACACACAAGAGGGATCAATGAGTATCGTTGTGCGAAATATGCCATATATCGCTATAACATATACATGGTTCATATTGCCCTCCTAATTTTCATTTTACAAATTAACAGCGGTAGAAACTAACAGTTTCAGTCCACTAGTCCTAATAATGACAACAAAACCCTAAAAAAGGGTAAATTTCTACTACCTCAACAATCGGGCAGTTTGACAAGGACTACAGGACTTGTGCCAATTTCTAATGCTTTATAAATAGTGTGTGTAGTACACAGATTTCAGTCTTTGAGTATCAAAACATATGAAATATCACCACATAAAAGGTCAGCAGATATCAGCAGCACATCTCAGGTTTAAAAAAACCATGTAGATTCCATAAAAAATGGGTGCATGCCCCCAATAGATCTGCCAGTGATTGGGCTATAACTTGTCACACTGCTCCGAAAAACATCAAGTCACTTTATGAAATATCTGATCAATCTGTTATCCATGAACAGTTCAATAACAGATTGTTAAAATAATATCAAAAGTAATTATGACAACACATGACACATATGCTACTCACAAAATGTCAAGGACCACACAATTCTTTCATATTACTTTGGTTACCGGTAATCTGTCATCGCATAAAAGATGAAATATAGAAAAATAGTAATGCAACAATTAAAATCGACCGATATTTTCAAAAGAAAATAGGAAAACATTGAACATGGTGAAGATCATAAAGATAACAAAATCAATTAATGAAATAGACTCAGCTGTTACTCTTCAGCCCTGAAAGTAAACACAACCCTATACAATGATATAAAACTCAAACTCGGCCTAAATTCTGATAAACGTTTCAACATAGCAACCTTATCCATAATCTACATGATTCAAACAATACAGAGTCCGAGCTTAATTTATCAAAGTACAATTTCAAATAATAATTCAAATTAAAAAATGGTAATGAGATTCATCTGATGAGTTATCAATATGGTGAGGACTGGATACTATACACAGTATCGGTACTTAACATCCTGGCGGCTTTACTTCAAGCCACCAATCACTGGGATACAGGTATTTAAGTATTTCGATGTTTTCATGCGGAACTGGAACATCCTTCCCATAAAGCTTTGCTGTAGGAAATGGCGCTTCCAAAAGTTGTAAGGGAAAGTTGATGGATTTTTTCTCGAACAACCACATGATGTTATGAAACCAGCCAGTCCGGTACATTTCACCGTCAATATTAGCCAGGAACGTTGTGATCAACCCTTCAGCACTCTTATACTTGATTTCATACACCCCTTGCTTGGAGTTATATGACATGATCATGCCATTTCTTCGAAACAAATCTGCCATTTTTCGCCTGTCAAGTTTCATGATGTCTAATGCGTTCACACAGAAGTCCACATTGTTGTCCCAGGGGAGGATCTGCTGATTTCGTAACGTCCCCCAGAGAGTTCCGTAACACACTGCATGAGGGACAGACAGAGTGTTGAGAGTTTCGTGGATTTTGAACACCAACTCTTTCATGTCGTTCATAACACCAGTGTCCGTCTTGCATGGTGCGGAAAACTGATACCATTTCTTGTTGTGGAATTTCATCTCTGTAAAAACAGAAAATGAAAACCAAAACATGAGAACAAAAGCTGCAAAGATTGTGGCCACTTTCCTCCATGAAATGTTGATGCATCGGTAGGTCATGGAGATGGCGGTGTCCGGACAGTCCCGTGACACCATGGTCAGCTGATCGGGGTCAAGGTCAAGGAACAGCAGCACAAGTGTCAGATCTCAAACCTCATGTTCCCCGACTGAAAAGTGAAAACCACTGCACTGTGTACTATGTAAAAAAAAATGATGTGTTTCCACTAGAGTTATCTTCCCTTCCGAGTAATGTCGTAATGAGGTTATCAAAGGTTTTCTCGTCTGTAACTAAAACTTACAATGTCGTCAAGTACGTAAATAGATACTGTTGTATAATCAAATCGCTATTGTGTATTAAATAATTTGTGTTTTTGTATTAATTACAACATATATAAAACCATTTCCGTTATAGCCGTAAACGGGGAAATTCTTTTAAAATCCGGGAAGCAAGGATGTTTGTGTATGCTCTGTGCATGTGCAGTTGAACCCCTGAACTCCGGTATGGGGACCAGAGAAAAGGTTCGACTTATCCGGGATTCGACACATCCGACTTAATTCTATTTGCCGTCTGATCTAGGCACAAGGCAACAGAAACCATAAGCAATAAAAACTGAAGCATTTGTCGTAACTATACACGCATGGCTGGCTAAACCGACCAATGATTTGATTCCTACGTGAATATTTTATCAGAGCTGTATAAAGTTATTTAGAACATGTAGAAATACAAATATCTTTTGCATAGTTGGTTAAAATTATCAAAATAGATTGAAATATTGCGCTGTCCACGTATAAACGTACGTCAGTCGACAGCTGTCGTCGAATCGTAGATAAGTTGATCACAGGGTAGACAAGCAATTTTTTTACGTTGCACGAGTATTCCGCACTCAAACTTTACATGGTTGTCACTTACCAGTGACAGTCTGTGCATTTGCGACGACACGATGTGTGAAACATACTACCTGAATCGTCATCTTAATCGAGGAAACTGAATGAATACACGCTCACCACTGAGATGTACACCTGAGATTGCAGCTGCTTGTCAAGGCTGTAAACTAGAGTTATCTTCCCTTCCGAGTAATGTCGTAATAAGGTTATCAAAGGTTTACTCGTCTGTAACTAAAACTTACAATATCGTCAAGCACGTAAATAGGTACTGTTGTATAATTAAATCGCTATTGTGTATTAAATAACTTGTGTTTTTGTATTAATTACAACATATATAAAACCATTTCCGTTATAGCCGTAAACGGGGAATTCTTTTAAAATCCGGGAAGCAAGGATGTTTGTGTATGCTCTGTGCATGTGCAGTTGAACCCCTGAACTCCGGTATGGGGACCAGAGAAAAGGTTCGACTTATCCGGGATTCGACACATCCGACTTAATTCTATGTGCCGTCTGATCTAGGCACAAGGCAACAGAAACCATAAGCAATAAAAACTGAAGCATTTGTCGTAACTATACACGCATGGCTGGCTAAACCGACCAATGATTTGATTCCTACGTGAATATTTTATCAGGGCTGTATAAAGTTATTTAGAACATGTAGAAATACAAATATCTTTTGCATAGTTGGTTAAAATTATCAAAATAGATTGAAATATTTCGCTGTCCACGTATAAACCTAGGTCAGTCGACAGCTGTCGTCTAATCGTAGATAAGTTGATCACAGGGTGGAGAAGCAATTTTTTTACGATGCACGAGTATTCTGCACTCAAACTTTACATGGTTGTCACTTACCAGTGACAGTCTGTGCATTTGCGACGACACGATGTGTGAAACATACTACCTGAATCGTCATCTTAATCGAGGAAACTGAATGAATACACGCTCACCACTGAGATGTACACCTGAGATTGCAGCTGCTTGTCAAGGCTGTAAACTAGAGTTATCTTCCCTTCCGAGTAATGTCGTAATAAGGTTATCAAAAACTTACAATGTCGTCAAGTACGTAAATAGGTACTGTTGTATAATTAAATCGCTATTGTGTATTAAATAACTTGTGTTTTTGTATTAATTACAACATATATAAAACCATTTCCGTTATAGCCGTAAACGGGGAAATTCTTTTAAAATCCGGGAAGCAAGGATGTTTGTGTCCGACTTAATTCTATTTGCCGTCTGATCTAGGCACAAGACAACAGAAACCATAAGCAATAAAAACTGAAGCATTTGTTGTAACTACACACGCATGGCTCAACACGCCGTAACTTTTGCTGGGTTGTGTGTTTCCAAACATTTTGAGTTTGACCTATGCCGAAACCTTGAGACTACAGTGAGAGTAAGTATAGTATAGTTTAACGGGATCGGATTGTGAGTTTGACACAACCAGGGCTTTGACACATCCGAGTTCGATACAACGGGATTCGACTTTTAGTATATGAATGCATGACACTTTTTATAATAGATAGCAACTTCTTTTATTCTTTATACGACGTTTCAGAGCTACTTCTTGCTCCTTTACCAGGTGAATGCTTAGTAAGTGCATAGATACCTATATATCATTATTTTTACACACTAAGGTGGAATAAATGTAAAACGATAACAATATAATGACGAAGTCGATGGGATATAAGATAACATCATTCCCGAGGCAAAAGAGTTAACTATCTTTAACTCACTTGCCTCGGATGACGTCATAATGACGAAGCCAATGAGATTAACATTAGAGGGTTCATTAGGTACGCTGCATTAGTATACATACCGTGAAAGTTTGGAAACCCACTAAATCCTGACGATACCATTGAGGGCGAAATCGTCCAGATGAACACATTTAAGGAGATATAAATCATGTGAATATTCCTAGATCAATGTAAGAGTGAAGCTCAAACAAAGCAGGTAATTCCTGCGTTAGTAAAACTCACGAACATGGGTGTGGTGCTGCCAAATAGTGACACATCACAATCTGCGAATCCTGACACGTCTAAGGGAGGCAAATCTTTACAACTAATTGCTGAGCCTGTGAGACCACTGGGCCACGTTTGTCCCATATAAGATTCACACAGGACATCGAACAGTTTTGCATTGAATTCAATGTTAAAATACAATGATATAATTTCTCTGAAGTGAGGAAATAGCGATGAGGGGAATATAGTTATACCAAGATTCCGTCCGTCCGTCCGTCCGTCCGAAAACTTTGTCCGCGCGATTTCTCTTCACTTTTTCAGTGGATTTATCTCAAACTTAGTACATATAATCTGTGTCATATGGAGGGGTGCAGTCAAAAGAATATATATATTTTTTTAATTTTCAATTTTTTAATGAATTTTTCAAACCCTAAAAGGCTAACCCTATCCTAGCTATTTAATTTGTAACTACTGACACACTAGGCGGGTCGGGGGTATTAGTGAGCCACGCTCACTTTTGCACTTGTTCTGTTAAAAAAATGCCTACCGAGGGTGTGGAATCCGAGATAAATCACCGCATGGAACACACTCCCCTCTGTTATTCAAAGTGTTGCATGCATGGGTCTCATATGTGAGTGAGTGAGTATAGTTTTAAGGCTGCTTTTGGCGGAACGAACATTAGTCGTTAGTGTATCAGTATTACCGTGCGCCCCACTTGTCTTACCACTCTCTGCTTGACGGGACGAACATTAGTCGTTAGTGTATCAGTATTACCGTGCGCCCCACTTGTCTTACCACTCTCTGCTTGACGGAACGAACATCAGTCGTTAGTGTATCAGTATTACCGTGCGCCCCACTTGTCTCACCACTCTCTGCTTGACGGGACGAACATCAGTCGTTAGTGTATCAGTATTACCGTGCGCCCCACTTGTCTTACCACTCTCTGCTTGACGGAACGAACATCAGTCGTTAGTGTATCAGTATTACCGTGCGCCCCACTTGTCTTACCACTCTCTGCTTGACGGAACAAACATCAGTCGTTAGTGTATCAGTATTACCGTGCGCCCCACTTGTCTTACCACTCTCTGCTTGACGGGACGAACATCAGTCGTTAGTGTATCAGTATTACCGTGCGCCCCACTTGTCTCACCACTCTCTGCTTGACGGGACGAACATCAGTCGTTAGTGTATCAGTATTACCGTGCGCCCCACTTGTCTTACCACTCTCTGCTTGACGGGACGAACATCAGTCGTTAGTGTATCAGTATTACCGTGCGCCCCACTTGTCTTACCACTCTCTGCTTGACGGGATTAACATCAGTCGTTAGTGTATCAGTATTACCGTGCGCCCCACTTGTCTTACCACTCTCTGCTTGACGGAACGAACATCAGTCGTTAGTGTATCAGTATTACCGTGCGCCCCACTTGTCTTACCACTCTCTGCTTGACGGAACGAACATCAGTCGTTAGTGTATCAGTATTACCGTGCGCCCCACTTGTCTTACCACTCTCTGCTTGACGGAACGAACATCAGTCGTTAGTGTATCAGTATTACCGTGCGCCCCACTTGTCTTACCACTCTCTGCTTGACGGGACGAACATTAGTCGTTAGTGTATCAGTATTACCGTGCGCCCCACTTGTCTTACCACTCTCTGCTTGACGGAACGAACATCAGTCGTTAGTGTATCAGTATTACCGTGCGCCCCACTTGTCTTACCACTCTCTGCTTGACGGAACAAACATCAGTCGTTAGTGTATCAGTATTACCGTGCGCCCCACTTGTCTTACCACTCTCTGCTTGACGGAACGAACATCAGTCGTTAGTGTATCAGTATTACCGTGCGCCCCACTTGTCTCACCACTCTCTGCTTGACGGGATTAACATCAGTCGTTAGTGTATCAGTATTACCGTGCGCCCCACTTGTCTTACCACTCTCTGCTTGACGGAACGAACATCAGTCGTTAGTGTATCAGTATTACCGTGCGCCCCACTTGTCTCACCACTCTCTGCTTGACGGAACGAACATCCGTCGTTAGTGTATCAGTATTACCGTGCGCCCCACTTGTCTCACCACTCTCTGCTTGACGGAACGAACATCAGTCGTTAGTGTATCAGTATTACCGTGCGCCCCACTTGTCTTACCACTCTCTGCTTGACGGGACGAACATCAGTCGTTAGTGTATCAGTATTACCGTGCGCCCCACTTGTCTCACCACTCTCTGCTTGACGGAACGAACATCAGTCGTTAGTGTATCAGTATTACCGTGCGCCCCACTTGTCTTACCACTCTCTGCTTGACGGAACGAACATCAGTCGTTAGTGTATCAGTATTACCGTGCGCCCCACTTGTCTTACCACTCTCTGCTTGACGGAACGAACATCAGTCGTTAGTGTATCAGTATTACCGTGCGCCCCACTTGTCTTACCACTCTCTGCTTGACGGAACGAACATCAGTCGTTAGTGTATCAGTATTACCGTGCGCCCCACTTGTCTTACCACTCTCTGCTTGACGGGACGAACATCAGTCGTTAGTGTATCAGTATTACCGTGCGCCCCACTTGTCTTACCACTCTCTGCTTGACGGGACGAACATCAGTCGTTAGTGTATCAGTATTACCGTGCGCCCCACTTGTCTTACCACTCTCTGCTTGACGGGACGAACATCAGTCGTTAGTGTATCAGTATTACCGTGCGCCCCACTTGTCTTACCACTCTCTGCTTGACGGGACGAACATCAGTCGTTAGTGTATCAGTATTACCGTGCGCCCCACTTGTCTTACCACTCTCTGCTTGACGGGACGAACATCAGTCGTTAGTGTATCAGTATTACCGTGCGCCCCACTTGTCTCACCACTCTCTGCTTGACGGGACGAACATCAGTCGTTAGTGTATCAGTATTACCGTGCGCCCCACTTGTCTTACCACTCTCTGCTTGACGGGACGAACATCAGTCGTTAGTGTATCAGTATTACCGTGCGCCCCACTTGTCTCACCACTCTCTGCTTGACGGGATTAACATCAGTCGTTAGTGTATCAGTATTACCGTGCGCCCCACTTGTCTTACCACTCTCTGCTTGACGGGACGAACATCAGTCGTTAGTGTATCGGTATTACCGTGCGCCCCACTTGTCTTACCACTCTCTGCTTGACGGGACGAACATCAGTCGTTAGTGTATCAGTATTACCGTGCGCCCCACTTGTCTTACCACTCTCTGCTTGACGGGACGAACATCAGTCGTTAGTGTATCAGTATTACCGTGCGCCCCACTTGTCTTACCACTCTCTGCTTGACGGAACAAACATCAGTCGTTAGTGTATCAGTATTACCGTGCGTCCCACTTGTCTCACCACTCTCTGCTTGACGGGACGAACATCAGTCGTTAGTGTATCAGTATTACCGTGCGCCCCACTTGTCTTACCACTCTCTGCTTGACGGGACGAACATCAGTCGTTAGTGTATCAGTATTACCGTGCGCCCCACTTGTCTTACCACTCTCTGCTTGACGGAACGAACATCAGTCGTTAGTGTATCAGTATTACCGTGCGCCCCACTTGTCTTACCACTCTCTGCTTGACGGAACGAACATCAGTCGTTAGTGTATCAGTATTACCGTGCGTCCCACTTGTCTCACCACTCTCTGCTTGACGGAACGAACATCAGTCGTTAGTGTATCAGTATTACCGTGCGCCCCACTTGTCTTACCACTCTCTGCTTGACGGAACGAACATCAGTCGTTAGTGTATCAGTATTACCGTGCGCCCCACTTGTCTTACCACTCTCTGCTTGACGGGACGAACATCAGTCGTTAGTGTATCAGTATTACCGTGCGCCCCACTTGTCTTACCACTCTCTGCTTGACGGGACGAACATCAGTCGTTAGTGTATCAGTATTACCGTGCGCCCCACTTGTCTTACCACTCTCTGCTTGACGGAACGAACATCAGTCGTTAGTGTATCAGTATTACCGTGCGCCCCACTTGTCTTACCACTCTCTGCTTGACGGAACGAACATCAGTCGTTAGTGTATCAGTATTACCGTGCGTCCCACTTGTCTCACCACTCTCTGCTTGACGGAACGAACATCAGTCGTTAGTGTATCAGTATTACCGTGCGCCCCACTTGTCTTACCACTCTCTGCTTGACGGAACGAACATCAGTCGTTAGTGTATCAGTATTACCGTGCGCCCCACTTGTCTTACCACTCTCTGCTTGACGGAACAAACATCAGTCGTTAGTGTATCAGTATTACCGTGCGCCCCACTTGTCTCACCACTCTCTGCTTGACGGAACGAACATCAGTCGTTAGTGTATCAGTATTACCGTGCGTCCCACTTGTCTCACCACTCTCTGCTTGACGGGACGAACATCAGTCGTTAGTGTATCAGTATTACCGTGCGTCCCACTTGTCTCACCACTCTCTGCTTGACGGGACGAACATCAGTCGTTAGTGTATCAGTATTACCGTGCGCCCCACTTGTCTCACCACTCTCTGCTTGACGGGACGAACATTAGTCGTTAGTGTATCAGTATTACCGTGCGCCCCACTTGTCTCACCACTCTCTGCTTGACGGAACGAACATCAGTCGTTAGTGTATCAGTATTACCGTGCGCCCCACTTGTCTTACCACTCTCTGCTTGACGGAACGAACATCAGTCGTTAGTGTATCAGTATTACCGTGCGTCCCACTTGTCTCACCACTCTCTGCTTGACGGGACGAACATCAGTCGTTAGTGTATCAGTATTACCGTGCGCCCCACTTGTCTCACCACTCTCTGCTTGACGGGACGAACATTAGTCGTTAGTGTATCAGTATTACCGTGCGCCCCACTTGTCTCACCACTCTCTGCTTGACGGGACGAACATTAGTCGTTAGTGTATCAGTATTACCGTGCGCCCCACTTGTCTTACCACTCTCTGCTTGACGGAACGAACATCAGTCGTTAGTGTATCAGTATTACCGTGCGCCCCACTTGTCTTACCACTCTCTGCTTGACGGAACGAACATCAGTCGTTAGTGTATCAGTATTACCGTGCGCCCCACTTGTCTTACCAGTCTCTGCTTGACGGAACGAACATCAGTCGTTAGTGTATCAGTATTACCGTGCGCCCCACTTGTCTCACCACTCTCTGCTTGACGGAACAAACATCAGTCGTTAGTGTATCAGTATTACCGTGCGCCCCACTTGTCTCACCACTCTCTGCTTGACGGGACGAACATCAGTCGTTAGTGTATCGGTATTACCGTGCGCCCCACTTGTCTCACCACTCTCTGCTTGACGGGATTAACATCAGTCGTTAGTGTATCAGTATTACCGTGCGCCCCACTTGTCTTACCACTCTCTGCTTGACGGAACGAACATCAGTCGTTAGTGTATCAGTATTACCGTGCGCCCCACTTGTCTTACCACTCTCTGCTTGACGGAACGAACATCAGTCGTTAGTGTATCAGTATTACCGTGCGCCCCACTTGTCTCACCACTCTCTGCTTGACGGGACGAACATCAGTCGTTAGTGTATCAGTATTACCGTGCGCCCCACTTGTCTTACCACTCTCTGCTTGACGGAACGAACATCAGTCGTTAGTGTATCAGTATTACCGTGCGCCCCACTTGTCTCACCACTCTCTGCTTGACGGGACGAACATCAGTCGTTAGTGTATCAGTATTACCGTGCGCCCCACTTGTCTTACCACTCTCTGCTTGACGGGACAAACATCAGTCGTTAGTGTATCAGTATTACCGTGCGCCCCACTTGTCTTACCACTCTCTGCTTGACGGGACGAACATCAGTCGTTAGTGTATCAGTATTACCGTGCGCCCCACTTGTCTTACCACTCTCTGCTTGACGGGACAAACATCAGTCGTTAGTGTATCAGTATTGCCGTGCGCCCCACTTGTCTCACCACTCTCTGCTTGACGGGACGAACATCAGTCGTTAGTGTATCAGTATTACCGTGCGCCCCACTTGTCTTACCACTCTCTGCTTGACGGAACGAACATCAGTCGTTAGTGTATCAGTATTACCGTGCGCCCCACTTGTCTCACCACTCTCTGCTTGACGGGACGAACATCAGTCGTTAGTGTATCAGTATTACCGTGCGCCCCACTTGTCTCACCACTCTCTGCTTGACGGGACGAACATCAGTCGTTAGTGTATCAGTATTACCGTGCGTCCCACTTGTCTTACCACTCTCTGCTTGACGGAACGAACATCAGTCGTTAGTGTATCAGTATTACCGTGCGCCCCACTTGTCTCACCACTCTCTGCTTGACGGGACGAACATCAGTCGTTAGTGTATCAGTATTACCGTGCGCCCCACTTGTCTTACCACTCTCTGCTGGACGGGAAGGCAAGCAAGACATGAGATCGTAGGTTCTGTATATATATCTGCCCCAATCGTACCACGACAACAACACACAAAGCTTTCTCAAGTGTCCAGTTGCAGCGGCGGATATAGGGGGGTCCCCTTTGAACGTGACGTTGACCCTAAATGAACACACAAACACATGCATGCACGCGCGCACGCACACACACACACACTCAACAATATGCCAGCTATATGACGGCGGTCTGTAAATAATCGAGTCTGGTCCAGACAATCCAGCGATTAATATCATGAGCATCGATCTAGGCAATTGGGATGCGATGATATGCATCGATCAAGTCAGCGAGCCTGACCACCCGATCCCATTAGTCGCCTCTCGCGACAAGCATGGGCTGCTGAAGATTGAGTGAGTAAGTTGGGTTCAACACCGCTTTTAACAGTTTTCCAGTTATATCACGGCGTGTCAGCTTAATGTGGGAGGAAAGCCCGAAGTAATGCAGGTTTTAGACGTTTACCATTTCGATGAAACCCACGAGCACGAGTATGGTGCTGACAAACCTATCTAGAAACATAATCCTGTTGCTGATTATTGCTGGTGCGACTCGGTAGCTGTCTTCCGAGATTTTACGACATCGCTAGATTTACGACAACCGCAAACTGGCGATAAGCAACTTTACAGTTGTTGCTAGTGCGGTTTTATGAAACTTGCAAGCACTTATGTTTTTGAGAATTTGTGCAAGGATAGCAATAAACAGTCTTTCATTTTTGTGAGTAGTTTTCCTATTTCCGTTTGTAACATTATCTGTCGACGACGACAAATGACATTCCTTGCAGGTATTAAACAAAGGCTAACGTTGGTGTTCATGAAACGTTGAGAAACGTTGGAGTGACACCTACGAAGCACATCGGTGTAGATATATTCTCTTGAAAAAAAAAGACAAACAACCTCCAATCCGTCGTTTTCACTTTATTCTTTTCAAGAGACAGTGTACTGTACAGGTTTAGTCGCCCCCAAGTCTTGAGTAAGCTAACCTGCTAACGACGATAGAAGATCGCACTAATTAGAAAAATACAATGGCATTTTACATCTTACTTTTGAAGTAATCCTATATACACGTATACTGATTTCATTGCCAAAGCTTGTCGATATTGAATATTCTAAACATTGTTTTTTAAATATATGGACATACCTGTAAACTCTCACACAGGTGGCGTGAGAGTCGTGGCTTTTCAACAAAATTCACTCTCTCATGCAATGCCACAGTAGGCCTAATCTCATGCCTATTCGCGCAAATTATCTTGTGCTTTCATTTTCTGTCAGATTGCCTTGCCTCACACAAGTCTTGACATTATCTGCAATATATAGATCACCACTGGTACTTCAGCTCCGCATAATTTCTACATCTCTGTTAGGACAATTTATACAAAAAAATGTTTCAACCCCCACACCCCCAACCAAGGCTTCGCCCTGTACCTTGTCTGATATATATCTCACTCATTGAAAACATTTGGGGTTGTCAGCTATGTATTGGAATATAAAACAGTGTGCATGTCACTGCATATAACATACCTTTTATTCTAGGGGATCCTTTCAGTTGTGTTGATAGTAGGGCTAGGACGTGTATTGCAGGTACTCGGGTCGGGTGGGTCCTGAGTAGGACCCGGGTACCCACAGGACTACCTGGACCCGTGGTTGTCATATGATATATTGTTGACAATAACACTTAATTAACAGTAAAACTTCATGATTACACTGCAAGTCATATATGATCACATTATAACTTTTATATGTTTGAGTAAAGATAAAGCTTCAGTCGAGATAAGTGTATATGCATGATCAGATCATTTTAAACATGTATCTAAATAGTTTTTTGCCAGTGTGCTGATAGGGTTAGGTAACATGGGATCAGATACTCAGGTAGTTAATTTGGACTGATCCCAGCCCAAGTGACCCGTGAAGATGGACTCATGGACTAATAAAAGACAATTTTCTGTTAATAACAAGCCATCATCTGAGTATTTACAATGTCTGTGTGATGCTACACCCCCTGTTATAGTGCAGTTAATCGCAATAAACATGGCTGTCAGAAAATGTAGGATGTCTGAAAACCTATTATCTGACGATCTATGTGGCACATAAGTCTCTACTTGTTTTCAACATGTAATTTCCGTAAACAAATTTAACACTTTATCGCAAAAGAGGTATGTAGTCAACATGTACTCTATCCAACCATAACTTACAATTAATTGAGAAAACAATCTGATAATTTTAAAGAGATTTTTAGTAAGCACTCTGGGATTTTAAGTCGGATAAAATAAAAGGTCCATGTCCATGTTCCGCATGTTGAGTTGACTCTAAGCTACATGAGCAATGCATAAACAGTACCTAGCAATTAAATGAAGAAACCCCTACCTATCTGGTATATGGGGGCACAGGTGGCCCAGTCGTCTAAGGCGCCACGATTCGCTGTACATGGTTACGTCTCTTGAGCACGCCAGAAACCTATGATTGTGGGTTTGAATCCCTGTTCGTCAGGTTTGTGAGCACCATACCCGTGCTCGTGGGTTTCACCGAAGTGGTAAACGTCGGAGACCTGCATTTCCTCCCACATTAAGCTCACACGCCGTGATATAACTGGAATACTGTTAAAAGCGGTGTTGGTATATAAGTATCCAAATTATAACCCAAATTATATTTCACTAGGAGTGTCACAGCCTTTATAAACAACAAGGCTGTCGTGTTTGTTGTCCTTCAAGTCTCCAATTCTCTCTCTATATAATTTGAAACGGATGATAAATATTCTAGTTGTTTCAGATTGAAATTACTTTCATATACGTACGTAAGTAAAAATATGTTTCATTTCAATCATTAAATTTTGTTATTTTCTGCACAAAAATATTTCGGTGAGCAGACTTTGGTGCCAGCAGTGTAATGATATTAAGTTATCTGTTGCAGCATCTGATTACCTAGAAGCCTGTGTGAAGGAATCCTCCAGGATGAGTGACCCGGACTTTGAAGAGCAGCTTCGTCAGGAGCAGCTGGAGAAGGAGAAGACCGAGGTGGACCGGGGGACCTACACAGATGAGGATGGGACTGTGTTTGAGTGGGATGCCCAAAAGAAGGCATGGTTCCCCAAGGTGAGTGGACAGGGTTGTCAAGGTCATTACTAAGTCTTATGAATACAAAACGTCTGTGCCAGAAATCCTGTATTTCAGCTGTCATCACACTATAAGATCTTTTGATTTTCAACAGAAGTCCTCTTTACTGTTAAGAATCCATAACCAGTTGAGGTACAAATAGTATCTCCCTTTCTAAACCTCTGTAGATGCGCAGACAGGAAGTTTTAACGTCTTTCCCTTGTGTCAATGTCAGCATAACACAATAAATAAAAAACTAAGTTGTCTTAGTGCGAAAGTTGGTCAGTTTCAGCAGGTAATAAAGTTTTTAATTTCAGTTTAAATTTACTCTTGAAAGAAGACTAGATCGTGCCTCTCATCTGTGTGGAAGCTGAAGGGGACTAGTTTGCTGGAAGTAAGGGAGATTAAGCCTTGATGTCTAAGGCAACGCCAATTACCGTGTAGAGTTGTGTCCCTTACCTTTCAAGATCTGCACGTATTGAGTTTGAAGGCTAAAAATAAGAACAGTCTTGGTTCTCAGGCACTGCCCGCATCGTCATAAAGTCCGCCGCACAGTTAGATTTTATTTCCATTAAGAAAAAAATATATAAATCCTTAAATATTCCTTGTCTCTAACACACAACCCTGACATTGAAATGCTACAATACTTAAAAACAATGTGATCCAATATAATGTTTAGTTACTTCCCTTTACATGCTCATGCTTTACTTCGCATCTCATGTTATGGTCATGGCGGCAATAGGAGTTTGTGTGCTTGCTTTGCCTTTTGCAAATTTGGTCAATGAAAACATGAAATTTATGATAAAACATCACTAGATATGATGATTTACAAATTCAATGGTATTTGTGTACTGTATGCTGGACAATGTTTCATATGCAGAGATAAGGATTACATGTGTTTTTGTCTCATAAAAAAAGCCGGAAATAGAAAGCAGCTGTTCACACATTTTCTTCCCTATCTATGGGTGATTTAGTTTAATACTTTATGTTATGGCTAATATCATAACTGAAAAGAAATTTTAATACAGAGATAGGGAGACAGAAGACTTTGTATCTCTAATGACTAATGTTTGTTTCAAGGCGAGTTCATGGTGAGTTGATGTGATTTGCCGATCAGTTCATTCACGATTTCGCCGAAATTAATGTCAACAACAATGAATGAAATCTTGGATAAAAGTAACATAATGTATTACAAACATAAGTCCAGAGTGAGTGAGTTGGGTTTAATGCTGCTTTTAACAGTATTCCAGTTATATCGCAGCATGTCAGCTTAAGGTGGGAGGAAAGCCCAAAGTCATGCATGTCTCAGACGTTTACCACTTCGGTGAAACCGACGAGCACGGGTATGGTGCTGACAAACCTAGAAACATACTTGGGGCGAACCGGGATTCGAACCCACAATCATAGGTTTCTGGCGTAATGTATTGCAAACATAAATCCAGATACACAATAAACAGTCTTATAGCCAGATGGTAATAAACAGGAGTAACATGCGTACGTCAGAACAGATTTGTTGACATGCTTCTTCCAGTTGTGTGTGCTCACGTTAACGAAATAAATTCAAAGCTCAATGTATGCGTGTATTATGCACACACTGGTAGTCAAACAGTATTCCACTATTTTACTCATCAAGGAATCCATTTATGTAGGGAGGCCCTTTCTCAGGTTGATTGTCCACAACTGTTTATTGGTTACACACTAGGGACGGTCGGGTAGCCTAGTGGTTAAAACGTTTGCTCGTCATGCCGAAGACCCGGGTTCGATTCCCCACATGGGTAAAATGTGTGAAGCCCATTTCTGGTGTCCCCCGCTGTGATATTGCTGGAATATTGCATAAAATCAAGCTCACTCACTCACTGGTTACATACAAGAATTGTTTTTTTTTGTTTTTTTAAATCACGGGACTGGTTGTTGCCTTTGTTATTGTTTTTTTCCCGTGAGTACCCGGATGATACGCAACGCAACTGAGCGTGACAAGAGACAGGGCTAGCGTCTGCAAGGACAGCAAAATAAACTTGGAGGCACCATTTGTTTTACCCATTTTTGAACACTGATTGGTTAACCGTGATCTATAAAGATTTCGACAAAGGGCGCATGTTAATTAATTTCTTCAGCCTAAACAAACAGACAAAAAGAACGGCGGAGCTCATCATTTGGAAATTCCCCTGATTGTTATAGTATCAATGCAGTGAAAACATTTTCGGATTGTGTCGACAATACGATTACTACTCCCTTGTTGTCATCCACATTTTCTGGTATAACCCTACACTTGTGTATTTGTCGTCATTCACTTGAAGCTCAGTTAATGAATTTTTTACAGGTATAACTAGTGGTAGCACCACTCAGAATACCTGACGAAGGTTCCCATTTGGCATTTATTGTGTCTGGGGTAATTATTCAATCTAAATCCAGGTTTGAAGTGAGGTGAAATGTGTGTTATGTAATATGCACGTGGCAGCCCAGCAAGAGATGAATGATCAGTTGCTTTACTTTTTTTGTAAATCAGCAGATCGTTCGTAGTCATCAAAGGATTAATAGAAAATACATTGATAGATTAATCACTGTTATCTTGCACGGTGGATATGTCAAAATTGAGTGTTTACATGACTATGTTTACTAAAACAAAGGGAATACACTCATATCATGGCGTGAAGTGCCGATGTAAAAACAACATATTACGTTTACCGATATACGTTGATTAATTGCTCATTCTTATCTAACTCAATGGATTTTTTTTAGGAACTGTGGACGTTATGAAAATAGTTGTCACGTGGGCTTTCTCAGCTGACCTTTGAGACTTGACACCTATGTGAAACACCTGAAACAATCTAAGTGATCAGTTGAGAAACGAACATGTGTTATAATATCCCGAAATGATACATATATATTTTAAAATATTTGATTGTTACAGAGACACGTGACATCAAATACGTTTCTTTGTACAGCTGCAGACGTTTGGGATATTGTTCCTTTGTGTGGATATTCACGATACATTCCTCGAACAAGGAAGCTGCCTAAAATTATACACATAAATTTGTTAGGTTGTAATTATGATATTCGCATTTTGTTTTCCTTCATTTGCAGTAGCATTGGACAGATTAATTCTTGTTCCTCTACGTCTTGGTTGGGAAATTTTTCGATGCGCGATAAACGTTGTTTTCACAAGTCTTTTCCTTTGTATATTACAGTCAATTTGTAAAATGTGATTCTCTCAGGCAATTAATAAAATGTGTAAATTCTGCTCTATCATCCGGGTACTCACGGGGAAAAACAATAACAAAGGCAACAACCATTCCCGGGGAATTGCTTTAGATCAGTGCCCCTTTATATCCAACTTCATTCTTTGTGTTTTGTTTATAATTAGAATTGGTAACCCGGTCAGGAGCCTCCTAGAACGTAGAGACAAAAGAATACTGCACAGGGAGAAGAGAACACAACGCAAAACACCGCAGTATAACATCTGACCTTTTGTCAACTATCTCTATAAGTCTACTGTCACTTGGCGCCTTTTACAGGCTTTTTAGGGCGCCTATTACAGATGCCTTGTTTACCCTTGATTTCAACATCCAACAACTTGCAGGTCAAGGTAATAAGTGTAATAATTTAATATCACCTGTTAAAGCTGTTTGATATACCTCCAAATTATCCCATTCTATTCCCAGATTGATGCTGACTTCATTGCCCAGTACCAACTGAATTATGGAGGACCACCCGCTGAGGACACAGCGAAGGAAGGAAAGAAGGACGATGGCAAGACAGAAGAGGAAAAGAGAAAGGAATATGAACAGTATTGTAAGGACTACTACAACTACTATGCCGACTACTACAATCAGCAGAGTGGGGAGAATGGCAACAATGATGAGGAGCAGAAAGAAGGGGAAGCTGTTGATGGTCAAGGGGGAGATAACTCTGCCAAGGGAGACAACTCTAAGGAGGAACCTTATTCTTATGATGACTATTTTGAATATTATAAATATTACTATGGAGAAAATTCTGGAGAAGGACAGAGTGGAGAGGGAGAGAAAGAAGATGAAAAAGTGGAAGAAAAGAAGGAATCAGATAAACCAAAGGCCGGAGAGAAGAGGAAAGAAGGTAGGTTGTGCCTGCAAACTATAAACTGAGGCATAAGCTGTCAGCTTTAACAGCACAAACAGTTATGCCTACACATCCATCTGTTGCAGATACAGGGGATTTTATGATGATTACATTTTTCGACTCATGTGACTGACAATTCTTTTAGGCACTGCAATTGATATTGGGTTTAGGATGGTACCAATTTTTGCCGCCCTTATCCCCTCCCACTCGCAATTCCCTATAATAAATGACCAGTCCCTAAATCCCTTAATTAAATTTTTTTTATTTGAAAAAAACCTGACATTTTTTCATGCCCTACAATTAGTTGACATGAATTTTGCTATTTAGACTCTTTAATCCGACAGTCTCGCACTCCAACTCCGAAACACCTAATTTGCAACGAATTGCTGAAATCACTCATTAATCCGACACAGTGATCAGCGTACTCCGTGGTCATCTGCCCACGAGTGACGAGCTGGCGCCAGGGTCGAGCCAAGAAAAGTGGCTTTGATGTGGCAAGGGTAGAAACTTTGATGAAGGCTAGTGGACACACTTGCCTCGGGAAGATGGACCTGCATCACTTCGGGCTTTCCTCCCACATTGAGCTGACACTGTGATATAGCTGGAATACTGTTCAAAGCAGCGTTATACCCAACTCAGTCACTAGGACACAAAAGTATGCTAAACTACTAAACTCTTGTGTATCTTAATTACAGTAAACTGCGTTTATAACGAACATGGTTATAGCGAACTGACGGATATAACAAACTGTTTTTGGATCCCATCCATTTGCAGTATATATGCTTATTACGAACTACGGTTATAACAAACTAACATTAGTGGTCCCTTTGAGTTCATTATAAACATAGTTTACTGTACTTGTAAGGCTTAAAAAAGTAAAAGAATTGCTTCTCAGGCAATGGCTTTGAAAATACAGTGTGGGCGGGCAGTGCTTTTTTGAGGGGTTGTTCAAGCTGGTATGTAACCAAATTTTGTTAACAATAATTTCAGCGAAATCATGTTCTTAAGTATTGTAGCATCTCATGAACAGGGTCGTGTATTTTTTTAAAATGGAAATAAAAACGAAATGTGCGGCAAACTTAATGATGATGCGGGCGTTGCCTGAGAACCAAGAGGGGCACAGATGGCCCATTCGTCTAAGGCGCCGTGATTCGCTGTGCAGAGTTGAGTCCCTTGGGCACGCCAGAAACCTATGATTGTGGGTTCGAATCCCGGTTCGCCCCGATTATGTTTCTAGGTTTGTCAGCACCATACCCGTGCTCGTGGGTTTCACCAAAGTTGTAAACATCTGAAACCTGCATCACTTCGGGCTTTCCTCCCACATTAAGCTGACACGCTGTGGTATAACTGGAATACTGTTAAAAGCGGCGTTAAACCCAACTCACTCACTCACTCACTCACTCAATGAGAACAAAGACTATTATTTTTTTAAGCCTAATGTATTGTGTTGTGTGTGTGCAGGCTGGTTTGAGCATGACAGTGAGAAGAGCGCACATGTGTACGTGTCCAACCTGCCCCTGGACATCACGGACGAGGAGTACAAGGAGCTGATGAGCAAGTGCGGGCTCATCATGCACGACCCCGGCACCAGGAAACCCAAGCTGAAGCTGTACCGGGACCACAACAGGGAGCCCAAGGGGGACGGGCTCTGCTGCTACATCAAGGTGAGGGAGGGGGTTCCACACTGGTTGCAGATCGCCTCATCCGTGTCATCTCATGTGTCTCGTTTTTAGGGCTGCATGGTATTACCCGTATTACAATAAACCACAATACAAAATTGAAACAATTACATATCGGGATATGTTTGTGATATAACGTTATATTTACAGTGATTTTGTGTTCTAAGTTTAAAATGGGGCGGTCGGGTAGCCTAGTGGTTAAAGCGTTTGCTCATCACATTGGAGACCCCGGTTCGATTCCCGACATGGGTACAATGTGTGAAGCCCATTTCTGGTGTCCCCAACTGTGATATTGCTGGAATATTGCTAAAAGCGGCATAAAATTATACTCACTCACTCAAATTTAAATCGCATAAAACAACTGCTATTGTCAATCTTTTTACGTCATTGTGATGAAACTGCACGAACAGCTTCTTGATAAACCTTTAGTTACAAGCTTATGTTGTTATCTCCCTTGATTTGTTTACAAATGGCGGATAGGGACAAGCAGATTTCGAAGTTGTCACTAACAAGGCATTTTTCTTTTGACTCTTTTGAGTTAACTTTGAGTGTTAATGAGTTTTAAAATAATGAAAAAAAATTCATGAAAATGAAAACGGAAGAATGTTCTGTTTTTCCCCTTTTTTTATTTTGAAATAATCTAACAATGTATGATTGTACAATGGATACTGTGATGCAATTTGGAGGTAAAAGAATATTAAACAGTGGACAGGACTCAAGTTTTCTTTCACAATATATCGCAATACATAATTTGGGGCCATACACAGCCATACAGTCATTTTCATACTGTCTGAAGGGATAAAACCGAATTTTAATGGAAATGTCCAGGTTGCTTTTGTACAAAACAACCTTAGCACTAGACTGTCGTAAGTCTATGTTAACATATGGGAGTTACGATCACCTTAGCGCTAAGATCGCTTTGTTCAACGGCACCCTGGACCATTACAGGACTTCATAGGATTTACTCCTGGCATTAAATGTAAAAATTAAATTTTATAGCAATTTATAATGTTCAAGAATTTTCAAACAATAAGGCTGTGGAAAGCTGAGACATGGTTATGATAGGTAACACCTCAAATATCAAATTTAAATAATTTCATCTCTTTTCATGAGAAATAAAAATGGCAATATAATTTAATGAATTTGTCTGGTCTTATTTAAACATTTCTGATTATTTAGGTCAGTTATAGTTTAATAATTGCCTGCTAAGAAGATTGAGTTGGCAGGCTCGCTGATTTGGTTAATGCATGTCATTGTATCCCAATTGTGCGGATTGATGCTCATGATATCGATCACTGTATCTTCTGGTCCATGCAGACATGGTTATTTACAGACCGCAGTCATTAAGATGGGATATTGCTGAGTGTAGCGTTGAACAACAAACAAACAATCAAACAATTCATTTACTGTTCAGCTCCATGCAGCAAGTTGGTTAGTTGGTTTGTTGTTTAATGCCACACTCAGCAATATTCCAGCTATATGTCAGAGGTCTGTACATAATCGAGTCTGGACCAGACAATCCAGTGATTGACATCATGAGCATCTTTCCACACAATTGGGATTAATGACATGCATCAACCAAGTCAGCGAGCCTGACGACCTGATCCCGTTAGTCGCCTCTTACGACAAGCATAGTCGCCTTTCACGGCAAGCATGGGTTGCTGAAAACCAATTTTACCCCGGATTGTCACGGGTCCTATCAGCAAGTGCATCTGTGGCTCCTTTGTGGTGTGTACAGAATGTTAGTGTGAATACAACAGCTGATGTGTACATCATTAATAAGACTGGAAACATAGAAAGTATATCAATCATTAATATCTTGTTCTCACTTGCATTGAAATCTAAATGTATTTAATATGAAGTACTTGCAAAGTGTATAACCATCAACCTGTATAGTTTTAGAAATACAGTGGATGAGTAGAAGATCGCTACAATAAAATTGCCTCACAACGCTTTGCAGACCAGTGATGTGATCGGTTAAGTTTGTAACTGTATTGTTTGCGCCCAAGACACTGGTTATTACTGTTTACAAACTGAAAAAGTTGGAAAAATGATCTTGGATGATAAATAGGATCTCACCCTTGTGTCTTTTGATATCAAATTTATCAACACATCGATAAAAGTTAAAGCTCCTCGGGCATGTTGGCAAACCTTGAAGTTTGAAACTTTTACCATTTTGTGTGGATATATTTTATATCAAGATTGTCGACGTTTTGGGGTACATGGTGTATGACAGTCGTTGAATGGTTTCAGTGCAAGCTAACCAGGTAACAAGAAGGCTAGAAGTGTAGTCATCAGCTACCCGACTCTACTGACACATCACACTCATAACACGCCTTCTCTTCCAGCAAGGGGGGCACGGTTGGCAATTCGCTGTGCATGGTTATGTCCGATGGTCAAGCTAGAAACCTATGATCATGGGTTCGAATCCTGGTTCGCCCCGATTATCTTTCTAGGTTTGTCAAAACCATACCCGTGCTCGTGGGTTTCACCAAAGTGGTAAACGTCCTGCATCACTTTGGAATTTCCTCCCACATTAAACTGACATGTCATGATATAACTGGAATAATGTTAAAAGCGACATTAAACCCAACTGACTCACTCACTCTTCCAGCAAGAGTCTGTTGAACTTGCCCTGAACATCCTAGACGGGTCCGAGGTCCGAGGTCACAAGATATCCGTAGAGAGGGCCCAGTTTCAGATGAAGGGACAGTACGATCCTTCAAAGAAGAGGAGAAAACTCACCAATAAGGACAAGCGGAAACTAAAGGAAAAGCAAGAAAAGTGAGTGTCAACATAGTCAACTGCAACTGTTTTTGTTATGTCTGAAATGGCCACATAGTAATCCATGCTTAATTGTGTCACTGCTCACCAGTAGAGTGAAATATGTTAGATTACATTCGGTTCTTTCTAGCATATTTGCTAGAAGTTAATCCTCCATTTTTTATAGATAATTGATAGATACAGTCATCCCCCGCAATAACGCCCTTCGCGATACTGTGGATTCCGTTGAACGCAGGGTAATCAGTAATGGCTGTTTCTCATCTGATTACACATATTTGGTGAGAGTACAGCGATGACCTAATAAGATAAATATCCAAACAACTATGAACACCTGGTTTGTTTTTTATTTGCTAAAAACACACGACGTAGTTTCTCCAAATCTAGACCTAATTACGATCCGACTTCCAACTTCATCAATTTAACTTCAATTAACATTTACCTTGTTAGTAAGTTGTTACCCTTTCATATGTTGCAACAGTGAGTAATTTATGAGATCAGTGCTGTGAACTTTCGTGAATAGTTTTGAACATCAAGCGTTTCCGTGTTGTCATTGGAATAACGACATGGTGGGTGGGTGTTCGTTGCGGCTTAATCCGGAGCAACATCCGGACAATAACCAGAAAATTTTTTGAATCTCATCAATAAGTTAAAAATTATATAGTGATCACATCTATTGTCTGAAACAAAGCGATCAACTGTACGTGTACATTTGTCTAAAAACAGTTATTGTCTGATTCATAAAGTCACAAGGGGGCACAGGTGCCCCAGTCGTCTAAAGCGCCGCAATTCGCTGTGCAGAGTTGCGTCTCTTGGGCATCTCAGAAACCTATGGTTGTGGGTTCGAATCCCGGTTCGCCCCGATTATGTTTCTAGGCTTGTCAGCACCATACCCGTGTTCGTGGGTTTCACCCAACTGGTAAACGTCTAAGACCTGCATCACTTCGGGCTTTCCTTCCACATTAAGCTGACACGCCGGGGTATAACTGGAATACTGTTAAAAGCGGCCTTAAACCCAACTCACTCACTCATAAAGTCACAAAAAGTAACCATGTATACTGTGATAAATATTTGTATCCGTTGTCATATACTTTTATTATATGTAATAAATCCTGAGTGTTGTATCACTTCCATCGTGTGTCTCTACATTCCTGTGGCAAAGTTGACACTCTCCAGATTTTAATGCGATCACCCTGTCATTGCCTTCCTTTTTGTAAGCAAATAGCGTACGAGTCATTTGATTGTCTAAGCAACTCACATGCCACCGCTCCATTGTTTGATAAGGTATGTTGAAATTAGCACGAAATTGGCACCTTTGCAGAGTTTAACTATTGTAACATTGGTTTTTGAAATCAAACTCTCATGTTATTTTATACCAGTATAATAATTTGCAGTCTGAAACAGTGTTTAACTGGCTTATTTGTCGAAAATATCGTGTGGTTAGTGGCTTCGTTCAGGACAGTTTGTGACTTAACAATTTGGGTTTGTCTAAGTATACATTATTTTTTTACATCTATATCTTACCATATTTGTATTCAAAGATCCCAGCAGTCAAGGTTGTTAACAATAACGGGATACCTAGACTTGTACAAAAGATCAACCTTACGAATAAAAAGCACACAAATAAAATCATATTTATTTATTTTTCTCACAAACACCATCAATTTTTCTGCCATAACCATGCACATTTATGCACATACATCCTTAAGTGTGCATACACATACAGTACATGTATTCGTGTCCTCGTTAGTTGAACAATCACCCGACCTACATTACATAATTGGAAAAACGCGGGTGTCAATGGACCCCGAGACCCGCGTTATTGCAGGGTATGACTGTAATTAGTTAGCCATTATCGATCTCTATGATCTATATCAATAGCCAGCTCTACAATGTGGACATGATGCATTTTAAATGATAATGCAAAAACCTTTACCAAGGCTTACTCTCATCTTAATCGGGGGCGGTCGGGTAGCCTAGTGGTTAAAGCATTTGCTCGTCACGCCGAAGACCTGGGTTCGATTCCTGACAATGTACAATGTGTTGAGCCCATTTCTGGTGTCCCCTGCTGTGATATTGCTGGAATATTGCTAAACTCACTCTGAATCATTTCTGGTGTTGCTGATGTGACAGGCCTTCCAGTAAAGGGGACCCATGAAGATCTGGGGTGGAATATAGGTTTTCAGCAACCCATGCTTGCCGTAAAAGGCAACTATGCTTGTCGTAAGAGGCAACTAACGGGATCCGGTGGTCAGGCTTGCTGACATGGTTGATGCATGTCATCAATCCCAATTGCGTGGATCTATGCTCATGATGTCAATCACTGGATTGTCTGGTCCAGACTCGGTTATTTACAGACCGATGTCATATAGCTGGAATATTGCTGAGTGTGGAGTTAAACAACAAACAAACAAATCCAGTAAAGGGGTTGTCTCCAAGTCTCTCCCTGCCACGCTTAACAGTGGCATAGGAAGCGGCATCCTTCCCTAGTGTTGTACTCATACCTTCATGGATGGGTTTTGGTTACTGTATTTGACGTAATAAGCGCCCAGGGCGCTCTCAAAATTTGAAATAGGGGGCTCTTATTAGAATAAAATTTTGGAGAAAAAAAACAGAGTTGAAAGATTGTAAATTTCATGGTTTATGCTGACAGCCTGAAATGATACAAAATAAAAGTCTGTGTGTATTATACACGACAGATATATTTATCCAGAATTTAATTACCCATAATTAAGGATGCATATAACACATGAGTGCGTATTATACACGAATAAATAAGTCATGTGTACATTGATCAATCGGAAGGGGTGCTAATTGGGATTATTCACTAGCCATAATATTTGCAAATATCGCCGTGGGTGCTTATTAGAGCAGGGCGCTTATTACGTCGAATACGGTATAAGCTCATTACTTGATTACTGCACATTCCTCAAGTTTGTCCATTTTCCAAAGCTCACAGACCCCTGCTTATTTTCCTGAATAGTCACAGCGAAACAGTTTGTTCAATTGACTCAATTTTTTGTGGATAACCTCCATGACATCATGTAATGGCCACAACAAAAGATTTTACAATTACTAAGTTCCTTCTATGTGAGGCTAAGAACTTATCAATGAAACCTCATCGGTAAACCCTCCCTGAATGGATCGGGTGGTCAGACTAGGTGACTTGGCTGATTGCATGTTAGGGCTGCAACGAATAACCTATGAGGCGAATACGATTCGTATCACGAATATAGGGTAATAAATACGAATATTAGTTCACGAATACAATGATAAGTCAGCAGTTGATGTATTATTTGTTATATTCAGTGAAACATTAACAACATAAATTATTTGACATGGTTTGTTAATTATCTATATTATACATTTATATACTGCACTTATCCAGGTACTTAGTGTCAGTTTCTGCTCAAATGCTACAATGACCAGTGACCAAATTCCTGTCAAATTAAATATAATAAGAGTGTTGTCTTCAAAGAAATCTATGCATATCATATGTTCTTATGGACGTTTTAGGTACAGGGTATGTAAATGCACATGATTGCATATTAATAAATATTCGATTCTAGTGGCCACGAATAACGAATTCAATTCATGAATGGATACGGTTCGATTCACCGAATACGTGAATGAATTGTAACGGCCCTATTGCATGTCATATCTGAATTGCATGGATCCATGCTCAGGATGCAAATCACTGTATTGTCCAGAGTCGAAGATTTACAGACAGCTGTCATATCGTGGGTTATTGATGAGAGCGGCGTTAAACAACACACAAAACATCCCCAACTGTTCAGATCTGCCTTTCAGAGAAAAAAGTTGCCTGTCCTGAAGCAGTGACAGACTAAATAGTCAGTCTCTGACAAACTCCCATCTTCCCGAGGCAAGAGAGTTTATCTGACTTTATAAATCCAGTTTCCACCCTTGCCGAACTAGGCTGGAATTGCTGGGTCCGATCGTAGCGCCACCTGTGGCTATTACAAGTTATGTCCCTTCTATGAACCAATCAGATTCCACCTCTCGTATCACTTGCATTTGTTTCAAACAAAATGTCTGTGCCCAGTCAATACGATCTGGTCGATAATCAAGATCTATGTTTTGATAAAAGGGGTCTTACATTGCGAAGTGCATCAAATCTAATGAGCACCTTGATTTAAAAAGTATCTGTTGACAACGAGTTGGCAGGGCACATGCTTTGCAAATCCTGCAATCGACTGAAATCTGCATGACAGTTTACGAACTTGATTTTTGATTTTTTTTTGGATTGCACAATTTTGATTGGACTATGCATAGACTCGTTAGTCCAGCCAAAATGTATCTCCATAATACCAGCCTAGATCGGCAAGGGTGGAAACTTGACTTTTATAGTCAGTTAACTCTCTTGCCTCTGGAAGAGGACAAACTCCATGCTGATGTCATCCATGCTTTATGTTTGTTAATACAGATTCATTGACACTTCTTTTTGTTGTCTAGGCTGTTCGACTGGAGACCTGAGAAAGAAGACGCGAGGTTGAAATGTGAAAAAACTGTAATCCTGAAGAATATGTTTGATCCTAAGGAGTTTGAGGTAAGAATGCTTGTTTCCTGATCGACAATCACTAAAATTCTGTGTCAGCTTGTTTGGCGGCGGACAAACCCTGGACCAAATGTTTGTTGCTTTAACAAATCCACCTGTCTGGGTTCCAGGTAAGAACTGGTCCCCAGAAGCCACTTTATGAATCTCGTTGTCAGGTTCAGTGACTTGGTTGATAGCGTGATACATATGCCCGAACAGGGTTGATCGTTGCTCACAATATCAAGCACTGTTTTGTCTGGTTCAGAATCCATTATTTATAGCATGTACAGCCCGTCATCATACCGCTGGCAGATTGCTGGGTGCTTAGTGCTGAGTTAAGCAATATATACACTGATTTTAATAAAACCATTGGGACCAGCCGCTACAACATCAGGTCAGACATGTAGAGAGAAAGAACTTCAGTTCAGACATGTACAGGGGCGGTCGGGTAGCCTTGTGGTTAAAGCGTTCGCTTGTCACGCCGAAGACCTGGGTATGATTCCCGACATGGGTACAATGTGTGAAGCCCATTTCTGGTGTCCCCCGCCGTGATATTGCTGGAATATTGCTAAAAGCGGCGTAAAACCATACTCACTCACTCACTCACTCAGACATGTACAAAGAAAGAACATCAGGTCAGACATGTACAAATAAAGAACTTCAGGTCAGACATGTACAAAGAAAGAACAGCAGGTCAGACATGTACAAATAAAGAACTTCAGGTCAGACATGTACAAAGAAAGAACTTCAGGTCAGACATGTACAAAGAAAGAACAGCAGGTCAGACATGTACAAAGAAAGAACTTCAGGTCAGACATGTACAAATAAAGAACTTCAGGTCAGACATGTTCAAATAATGAACATCAGGTCAGACATGTACAAAGAAAGAACATCAGGTCAGACATGTACAAAGAAAGAACATCAGGTCAGACATGTACAAAGAAAGAACATCAGGTCAGACATGTACAAAGAAAGAACTTCAGGTCAGATGTACAAAAAAAGAACTTCAGGTCAGACATGTACAAAGAAAGAACTTCAGGTCAGATGCACAAATAAAGAGGGGGCACGGGTGGCCCAGTCGTCTAAGGCGCTGCGATTCGCTGTGCAGAGTTGCGTCCCTTGGGCACGCCAGAAACCTATGATTGTGGGTTCGAATCCCGGTTCGCCCCAATTATGTTTCTAGGTTTGTCAGCACCATACCCGTGCTCGTGGGTTTCACCGAAGTGGTAAACGTCTGAGACCTGCATCACTTCGGGCTTTCCCCCCACATTAAGCTGACACGCCGCGATATAACTGGAATATTGTTAAAAGCGGCGTTAAATCAAACTCACTCACTCACTCACTCACTCACTCACTCACTCACTCACTCACTCACTCACTCACAAATAAAGAACATCAGGTCAGACATGTACAAAGAAAGAACATCAGGTCAGACATGTACAAAGAAAGAACTTCAGGTCAGACACATACAAAGAAAGAACTTCAGGTCAGACACGTACAAATAAAGAACTTCAGGTCAGACATGTACAAAGAAAGAACATCAGGTCAGACATGTACAAAGAAAGAACATCAGGTCAGACATGTACAAAGAAAGAACTTCAGGTCAGATGTACAAATAAAGAACATCAGGTCAGACACATACAAAGAAAGAACTTCAGGTCAGACACATACAAATAAAGAACTTCAGGTCAGACATGTACAAATAAAGAACTTCAGGTCAGATGTACAAAGAAAGAACTTCAGGTCACAGATGTACAAATAAAGAACTTCAGGTCAGACATGTACAAAGAAAGAACATCAGGTCAGACATGTACAAAGAAAGAACATCAGGTCAGACATGTACAAAGAAAGAACAGCAGGTCAGACATGTACAAAGAAAGAACTTCAGGTCAGACATGTACAAATAAAGAACTTCAGGTCAGACATGTTCAAATAATGAACATCAGGTCAGACACGTACAAAGAAAGAACATCAGGTCAGACATGTACAAAGAAAGAACATCAGGTCAGACATGTACAAAGAAAGAACATCAGGTCAGACATGTACAAAGAAAGAACATCAGGTCAGACATGTACAAAGAAAGAACTTCAGGTCAGATGTACAAAAAAAGAACTTCAGGTCAGACATGTACAAAGAAAGAACTTCAGGTCAGATGCACAAATAAAGAGGGGGCACGGGTGGCCCAGTCGTCTAAGGCGCTGCGATTCGCTGTGCAGAGTTGCGTCCCTTGGGCACGCCAGAAACCTATGATTGTGGGTTCGAATCCCGGTTCGCCCCAATTATGTTTCTAGGTTTGTCAGCACCATACCCGTGCTTGTGGGTTTCACCGAAGTGGTAAACGTCTGAGACCTGCATCACTTCGGGCTTTCCCCCCACATTAAGCTGACACGCCGCGATATAACTGGAATATTGTTAAAAGCGGCGTTAAATCAAACTCACTCACTCACTCACTCACTCACTCACTCACTCACTCACTCACTCACAAATAAAGAACATCAGGTCAGACATGTACAAAGAAAGAACATCAGGTCAGACATGTACAAATAAAGAACTTCAGGTCAGATGTACAAATAAAGAACTTCAGGTCAGACACATACAAAGAAAGAACTTCAGGTCAGACACATACAAATAAAGAACTTCAGGTCAGACATGTACAAAGAAAGAACATCAGGTCAGACATGTACAAAGAAAGAACATCAGGTCAGACATGTACAAAGAAAGAACTTCAGGTCAGATGTACAAATAAAGAACATCAGGTCAGACACATACAAAGAAAGAACTTCAGGTCAGACACATACAAATAAAGAACTTCAGGTCAGACATGTACAAATAAAGAACTTCAGGTCAGATGTACAAATAAAGAACTTCAGGTCAGACATGTACAAAGAAAGAACATCAGGTCAGACATGTACAAAGAAAGAACATCAGGTCAGACATGTACAAATAAAGAACTTCAGGTCAGACATGTACAAATAAAGAACTTCAGGTCAGACACGTACAAAGAAAGAACATCAGGTCAGACATGTACAAAGAAAGAAAAACATGAGGTCAGACATGTACAAATAAAGAACTTCAGGTCAGACATGTACAAATAAAGAACTTCAGGTCAGACATGTACAAATAAAGAACTTCAGGTCAGACACATACAAATAAAGAACTTCAGGTCAGACATGTACAAAGAAAGAACATCAGGTCAGACATGTACAAAGAAAGAACATCAGGTCAGACATGTACAAATAAAGAACTTCAGGTCAGACACATACAAATAAAGAACTTCAGGTCAGACACATACAAATAAAGAACTTCAGGTCAGACATGTACAAATAAAGAACTTCAGGTCAGACATGTACAAATAAAGAACTTCAGGTCAGACATGTACAAATAAAGAACTTCAGGTCAGACATGTACAAAGAAAGAACATCAGGTCAGACACGTACAAAGAAAGAACATCAGGTCAGACACGTACAAAGAAAGAACATCAGGTCAGACATGTACAAAGAAAGAACATCAGGTCAGACATGTACAAATAAAGAACTTCAGGTCAGACACGTACAAAGAAAGAACATTAGGTCAGACATGTACAAAGAAAGAAAATCAGGTCAGACATGTACAAATAAAGAACATCAGGTCAGACATGTACAAAGAAAGAACATCAGGTCAGACATGTACAAAGAAAGAACATCAGGTCAGACATGTACAAATAAAGAACTTCAGGTCAGACACATACAAAGAAAGAACTTCAGGTCAGACACATACAAATAAAGAACTTCAGGTCAGACATGTACAAATAAAGAACTTCAGGTCAGACATGTACAAATAAAGAACTTCAGGTCAGACATGTACAAAGAAAGAACATCGGGTCAGACGTTCAAAGAAAGAACATAGGAAAGACATGGATATTTTAATGGTGCTTCACAGATTCCCAACTCATGAGGGAGCATGACTTGTCTCCCTTACCTCGTGAAGATACAAATATGGTAGACTCTTCAAACTCAGCTTCATTCATGTCATAAATGGCCAGGAATATTTACTAGTCACATGACTGGTTAGTTACATCTCATGCAGTATCATCCAATGGCGTCATGCAATCCGATTTAGCATTTTGTTTCATGATAGGCGATACAGTAACACGCCACCCCAAGTAGATACCAGGTCGAGTTATTGCCAAACATGGTTCATCCTACTCTTGGAAAATGATATGAACTTGTGATGCACTGATATTTCAGTGAGGCATGACACCCGTCATTCTTTGTGGTCATTTTACGTGGATTGTGGCATTTGGTGCAAAGGGAGCTTGGATATAATATGTCAGCGATCCAGATAGGACACGCAAAATAAATCTTCAATTCCCAGTTGAGTTCCTTGTTTACAAATATGCTTGAACAGTTTAAAAAAGCAATAGTATAACAACACTATGATTAATAACCCTTTTAGTGTGTGTACCTGCATTTCTTAGGGGCGGGCGGGTAGCCTAGTGATTAAAACGTTCTCTCATCACGCCAAAGACCTGGGTTCAATTCCCCACATGGGTACAATGTGTGAAGCGGGGGCACTGGGTGGCCCAGTCGTCTAAGGCGCCGCGATTCGCTGTGCAGAGTTGCGTCCCTTGAGCACGCCAGAAACCTATGATTGTGGGTTTGAATCTCGGTTCGCCCCGATTATGTTTCTAGGTTTGTCAGCACCATACTCGTGCTCGTGGGTTTCACCGAAGTGGTAAACGTCTGAAACCTGCATCACTTGGGGCTCTCCTCACACATATAGCTGACACGCCGCGATATAACTGTAATACTGTTAAAAGCGGCGTTAAACCCAACTCACACACACACACACACACAATGCGTGAAGCCCCTTTCTGGTGTCCCCCCTCAGTGATATTGCTGGAATATTGCTAAAAGGGGCGTAAAACCATTCTCACTCACCTGTAGTTGTTTACAGATGTGTTTTTACTGATTGTATGCTGGCATCATATATACAGGGACTCTACCGCAGTGAAAAAAGCAGTAATGCTACTT